CGGCTCCCCCACCCCAGGGGGGCCAGCCTCTCCCGGTTGACCCGCTGGACCCTCTGGACCAGGTTCTCCTGAAGCAAAAAATGGGGAATTACTATAAGCATGGTTAATAACTTTGGTCTGATATCTCTTTACAATGAACAACTGAAGCAACTGAAAAAAAAAAATACTTATTTCATCCTTCTGTGAGGTAAAATCTAGTAAGTGAAACAGCATTCTGCCTTTTTTGTTTTTACTATTTTAGAGGCCCTTGATACAGAGGCTACTTGATCCCCTTGGACTGGATGTTTGATAACCTTGTGTATTACTAGTAACCTGTTCACCAACCTTTCATTCCAGGTTCTCCCTGAGGTCCGGGTATCCCTGGTTCTCCCGGTAGGCCTGTCTGTCCAGGGGGTCCGGGTTCACCCACGCCTGGAGGACCCTGGGGACCGAGGGCACCTTCAGGACCGGGGGGTCCAGGAAGCCCTATTTTTCCTTGCTTTCCTCGGCTGCCAGGTATTCCCTAGTGTAGAAACCAAATTTAGCATATAATGCTACAGTATACTTTTTGTTTTACCAAAATCTTAATTTCGATGCATTTAAAATTTTTTTTATATAATAGAAACACTTACCGGTTCTCCTTTCATACCAGGTTGGCCAAACCCAGGAATACCGATGGGACCTGAAAAATAGCAATCAGGAATTTATAAATCATTTCAACGTAATGAAAGCGAACGTATCGTGCAGCAACACATTTTTCAAGAATGGAAAGGATAGAAAACACGTATGGTTATGAAACAGACAATGCACGCACACACAGGCAGAGAGCGAGAGAGAGAGAGAGAGACGTTAACGTGCCTGCCAAATCAGCATCAGTAAGTTTTAAACAAGGACCAGTTTCACAATTGACCGATAGTTGGTCGTAACTTTAAGATCAAATCTAATTCTAATCAGGAGTTAGGTTGATCTACTTAGACCAATGCTGCCTATGGGAATGCGGTCTATTTTTTTTTAGGTGGAACCAGCCTTTAAAGTAGTCTATATACATGTATCTACGGGTTATTTACCAGCGTCTCCTTTCTCTCCCTTGTCTCCACGTTCTCCCTTCATCCCTGGCTCTCCGATTGGGCCGAGGGGTCCGATAGGTCCGGGGGGCCCTGGCAATCCGTCCATCCCCTTGTCTCCCTTCTCCCCTCTTCCGCCCTAGATAATGAAAACGGGGATAAGGTTACAAGGTTCTTAAAAGTGGCCAGCGCTTCACTTTCCAGTATTGTCATAAAGGTAAGTAAAGATCCAGTTGTACATACCTTTACCGTTTTGTTGACAATTTCCTTGATAAAAACTGTCATGTTGTACCTGCTTTCGGAAGAATTGAAATCTCCTGGGGGGCCTCGGATACCAGGTTCACCCTAAAATACATTTAAAACATTCTTTTAAGTATTGAAGTTTTAAAAAAGTGGAAGCAGATATTTATTTATCATTTATTTCGTTCGTTCTTTTTTCTTTATCTTGTTATTTTTACAAATATGTATAATGTTTGAAATCCCTATGTTCTCCTTTGCCTACAACTGGTTTAATAAGAAATAAAAGTAGTTTATGGTAGCGGTGGGTCGTGACTAATGTACACTGACATACATAAAAACCAACTTCTCTTTTTTCAGCCCGTTTTGTTTATGCTTTTTAACTTCGATAATGTTTATATGATTGATATGCTACACTCTTATTTTACATTATATGACAAAAATGCTCACCCTTGCGCCAGGCAAACCCTGAAAGACATAATAAATAATTTAACGTCACAATATCAATAAATATTCATGAAGATGCTACATGTGACGAAGGCACGTACGGTGAACCTGCACTACGTTAGCTTAGCTTATATACATGTATTTTTATTCTGATTTGCATACGATCACTTACCACAAGGGTCGCCTCCACCCGGTCCATACGGAGATGCTCTACGGTTAAATTTAAACTATACAAGTTCGAAGGATAGCTCTGCACAACGGCATGGGTTCAACTTTCACTTTCACTTTTGCAGGAATGCACCGTCATCGATTGCTTTTTGATACTTTGTATCATTCACGGCAAGTGCCTACATGCACGGAAATTTTGCATATATTGAAGAAACTCGTGAACAAAATATTGTTATGTTTATAAAAACAATTTTTACAAAACAAAGATTTGGAGTTCACACACCGTTTTTTTAAACTCGATCAAACGTGTCCTTCTTTTCACATATAAATGCTAAAAACGACTTCCATTTATAGCCCGGCGCGGGCTACTTTAAAAACCTAAATGATATTGTATTACAAAACATATAAAAATATGTAGATTTTGAATGGAGCATCAGTGTATGGAGATATATGTGGAGTGCTACCCCAGGTGACTTACGCGCCTGCCCCTCCTGCCGACATGCCCACGATTGCCAGACGCCTGAAAAGCGAGCAGAGTGTCTCATGTGGTGGTGTGGTCACCTCTGGGATGCAAAGCAGGTTTGGGTTCGTACAGTTTGTCTCGCTTATAGAATGACGGAGCGCTTTTTTCATTCATTTGTATAGATTTTTCTCTTCGCATGTTTCATTCAGTTTATATGATTTTGGCCAAGACAGGTACATTTATATGTACATCAAATGTTTTAAAAAATATCCTGCGTTTGTCAGCAGAGTCCAACGGACCCCATAGGCATGTGCTGTTTTAACAAACTGGGACGATTATGTCTGGTAATTCCGTCCTTGCGGGTCTAGTAAGAGTCATTCACTCATGTAATCATAATAAGGGTAGGCCGTGAGACGTAAATGGGCGTATTATAACAACTTTTGAAATAACATCTTAGTACCGTATTCGTCTTCTTTTTTCCTTCTCTTTTTTTTCTTTTCTTTCTTTTTTTAATGCTTGTCAGCAAATTTACAAAGTAAACGTGAGTCAGCAGCACATAAACAAAATTAGGAGAAATATGAAATAAACTTTTAAACTTCCTGGAAACATCTGAATGATCAAGAAGTCAGTCTGGTTTCCGGAGCTTTGAAAGCACTCAGTTTAGAAATGAGACAAACTGTAGTAAGGGTGTTCGCATGCGTGCGGAGAACGGAAAGCGGGTGCAGGTTTCGAAACCAAAATCGGCAGTTTCAGTGCAGAAAGATAAAACTCGGTGCATCTGTACTCGGCGCTAGGCAGGGACGTTATTGGAAGGAGGGGAGGCTCTGAAGCTGGAATGCGTACCGTAATTCCGATAGATGGCGCAGGAGTGCACTAAGAAAGGAGTCCATAAGTTCGCTCGTTCACTGCGTTCGTCACACACAGAAATACTAAGTAGTGATATATGCTATGACACCAAATTAGGTGAAAGTAATAGAAAGACACACTTGGCGAAGAGAACAGCTGAAAGTTGAGGATGAAGCAATAATGTAACCTCACTAAAGCAAAAAACGCAAGCGGTCGACAGCCATAAAAAGATCAACTTTAAACTCAAAACATCGCTTAATGCCATGCACTCTAGTAGTTACAGGGCGTGTGATAATTTTGTACGTCTGTGGCTACTAAGCAAAAACTCCACAAACTATGCGTGTAACATCTGCATCGTTAATTACAATACTAAGCAAATTTGACAATTAAATTAAAAAGGCACTAACAACTTTGGGTCAAACCTTTAACCATTCATAAGAAAGACGACATTTATGATCTGCTGTCGTGCCTGAATATAGGGTTGTAGCAATTGGGTGTTTAACGCAAAATGCCACACACAGAAGAAGTGAGTTAGATTGTGTAAACTGTTTTCTGTATTTACAAATATAAAAGCGAATCTTTTTCTATTATTACATGTACCCCCATGTAAGGTCAATTTGTGTACACGAATTAACTGTACACAGATTTGCTTTTTACCGAATAAATTCAATGCATCCTTTTTTTAAACTGAAACCACAACCCTTTTCGTTCCTATTACGTCTACGCGCCACGTGCAATAGCTCAAATGTTACTAATAGATCATCATAAAATTGCACCATAGTCCATTTATAGTTTTATTCTTCTAAATAATATAAAAAATAGCACTAATCGAAAAAAGGACATAAAAAGCGAATCAGAGTGTACACTTTCAAAACATTTAAAAGACTACTTTTCCCTAAGGCAACTATAGTTCTGAACCAAAGATCGCACATTTTTTATAACTTAAGGTCGACTTTACCTGTTCTAAAGGGTGTGTTCACTATGGAACTATCGTATAAGGTAGTTCGAACTAGCTCCGCGGGGACTCTCGCTGTATGTAATCAGAATAACAAACTAACATGCCTCCTTCTGGCTCCAACGAACTCGTATAACCAGCTTTTCTGTATTCTACTCAGCGCCAGGAATGGACGTGTTATCTATTACGATACTTGGATTGTGACCACACCCGTAGTCAATATAACCAGGGACCGCGGTTTCGCAAAAGTCCGAAAATCCATTTTAACTCTTAAACAAATAAACCTGTCTTTTATTATACTCATAATAAATTCATAAATATTATGCACTTAAATAAAGTACCAGAGGATATTGGTCTGACTGAAACTTTAGTAATGTCATCCTATAAAACAGGCGTAATGTTTCATTTTATTTGAACATTAATCATTATGTACATGTAAGGTCCAAACAGGTGAAATTTTTTATCTTACATATAAGACAAAATTTCGGGCTACAGTTCTGTTGTTCAACAGGCCTCAGAGTTGACCTAACTTGCCGTACATTCAAAGTGACCAGGAACGACTAATTTGTAATTATGTTGACAAAAGTGTTTACTTTCAGAGAATACAATGTTGCGTTCAGGTGTCTCAAATGCATATACCGCAGGTAGACAGTGCTTAAGGGCTCTTACTTCTTAGCCAAGTATCACAAAGCTGGCTTTGCATAGTCACATAGGTATCTACAGCAATTTTAGCAGTCTAAGCTAAACCCAGGAACTTAAGACTTTTATTGTGGAACTTTTAGCAGTCTAAGCTAAACCCAGGAACTTAAGACTTTTATTGTGGAACTGACCCCAAACTGATCTACGACTTAATCTGAAGGAAATAATGTTGAGTATTCAAACTGAGAGTTATGTGATACTGTTTGCTTTTCATCTTAGATAGGAGTTAAATAAATTGTTGAAAAAGTTCTAGCTGCTCTCGCGTACTGAATCGTAGGCAGCTAGCCTACAGGGTACTCTTGTTCAACAAACTTTTTCGAAAAATCAGACACCATCACAATTTAATGAAATATCTCCATTCAGCGTATAATACTGATGCCTTTCCCCTAACTTAAAATTCCATTTATCAGTCTTTTGGCACCGAAACCCGACCAGATGTTGGGAGGTTCTTCTCCATTCTCGTTGGGAACAAATTTTAATGCCAGTCAAAGCTTGAAATCTCCCGACAGACGCATCAAAAGTCACATGATTTCATGAGTGTGCTGTCATGTCCGGAAATGTCTATATGTTATACATTTCCAGAATCACAATTCTCATTATTCATGAAGTGGTTAAAAGGGGGAAAAACACGTAAACATGATGGACCTACTGTGCTGATCATTTACCAGTACGAATATTTCCACTATTCTGATTCACGTGTTCTGTTTCTGTCTACATCGATGAGTGCAAACATCATGCCAGTGAACACACACACCAAAGCCGAACAAACATATGACAAACAAATACGAAGACTGGTTTACAACCTGATGAAGTTTATGCTATAAACTTACCCTAGGTCCCACCGGTCCCGGGTCTCCCGGAGTACCAGGTTCGCCAGAAGTTCCCTGTAAAATAATAGCGGAAGTGAAGAAGCGTATGGTGATAACGAAACATACCCAGGTACTTGTAGATAATAAAATGTATAGTAAACGTTTCTCTCTCTCTCTCTCTCTCTCTGTGTGTGTGTGTGTGTGTGTGTGTGTGTGTTGTTTGAGAGATAAAAAAAATCTCTCTCTCTCTTTCTGTGTGTGCGTGTAAGTGTGTGTGTGTGTGTGTGTGTTTGAGAGAGAGAGAGAGAGAGAGAGAGATGTGTTTTTTTCGTAGCTTACTACGAAAAGGGTAAAGTAGATAAAGCGCCTTTTATAATAACCTCTATACAACTTAATCAATTTGCCATGATAACAAATTTCGGAAGCTGCAATTTTCTTATCATTACTTGCAACATTTCCTTAAACATTTCCTTTGAGCAGATGACACATTTTTTCGACTTCTAAATGTTACCACCATTTGCTATCTAAACTGAATCTGAAAATGATTTATTTCAGATGATGATAAGAGTGTAACATGCTGTCTTTTCTTTCGTTACTGGTACTGCTAGAACAAAGGAAAAATAATGGGATATCATTACATGTTAAAGATCCAAGTCATTCCATGGGCTAGAATTAAAGGAAGATCTTCAAAAGATTTACCAACATCCATTTGCATTTCTTATCTGGGCACAAGAAACCAAAATTATTTCAACGGGTAAACCAACATATACACGTACAACAATGAG